AGGAGGAGGAGGAGGAGGAGAAGGTGAGGAGGAGGCGGGACAGCCCCAAAAAGTAAGAACCCCACAGCATGATGTGGGGAAAAAAAGACAACCCGCAACCTAACACCCATGCCGGCAACCCTCAACCAATCTCGCAGCCTCGGGGTGTGCGCCTGTGACAGCCGATGCCAAGGTCATGACCCACTGTGCCTTGAAGCATAGTAGATGTCGTCTGCTGCCTGCAGGGCTTCCAGGCATTCAGGCCAAGTCGCCCTCCAGGGCCTTCACTTGGCCTTATCACGACCGTGCAGAAGCCTCCGATGCGCCCCAAGCTTTCCAGTGCACGCACAAACACAAACGACTTGCCAATTCGAGTTCACGGGCGCGGAACCTTGAGTCCCAGGATCGAGCGAAACCTCAGAACTCCCCGGCAACTCTGGATGTGCATTGACTGCCGTCCGCATGCCACAGCGGACATGTCTGCGAAGCCGGCAAGCCAAGCGCTGCCCTGCCAGCCTAGTACGGTGATGTAGTGTTTTCATGTACTGCTCCATGCCCACAAGGTCGTCAGTCAGCGGGTGGCTAATCAGTCAATTAACCACGACCGCCACAGCAACCTCAAGGGCGGTTTCGGGTCAAAGATGCGTGTCCGCGGCGGCACCAAGACGCGACGGGCCGCTTCCTTATCCGGATTCGTGGGGCCGCCTCCCCACCTGCAACTGTAAGGAGAGGTATTGGGACAGGAGGCGTGTAGGGATAAGGAAAAATAAAATGGTTGCTGGGGGGTCAGGCACCCCAAAGTTGGTAACCCAAGCCCAAACTCCTGGAATGACCCGCAACTGAGATGTGAAAATTAAGGGATGGACCCTTCAAAATTGAACCAACAAGTCAGCTGATCTGCATTCTGGTCCCATTGGCGGATCGGTTCACTCGAAGTGCGCTTCTCTTGCTGGACGGATGCCGTTACGTTGACGGAACCAGCGCTCGCACTTGACCCATCCGCCAATGCTATAAGGTGACGTGATCTATTCCCCTGAGTGCATCATTGCGCGGGGTGGCATCGTTGAGGCTGGCGCGAGTCACAAGTGCACGTTTCCTCTTTTGGGTGCTTTGACAGGAGTTCGAGCTATATCCAGAGGACAGGCAAGCCGTAATTCCGGCTGCTCGGCCCAGGACAATGTTGACAGACAAGTGAGTCTGCTGAATGTGGCTGCCGAGGTTCTCAGCTCTGCTGCGCCTTTGAGTGCGGACCAGTTGCAATATAAGGACAAGGCTCAAGAGGAAAGGTTCCTTGACAGCATCATCTCAAATGGGCACTCGCGCCAAGCCTGTTCGTTTTCGCGAGGGCATCTCTTGTGTTCAGCAGCACAAGTATCGTAGCCAGGCTATCTCAGGCATTGTCTTCAGGGAGACAGGGTTACCGCGTGGCAATCGCGAGCAAGACGGACTGACACCAGCTGGCCCTTGGTGTTGATTCCGTGTCTCGCCCTTCAGGCTCTTGCAGGAAACACTGACGTCCATGTTCGTGACGCCTGTTCTTCGCAATCCGCACACGACTACTCTCATTTTAGGAGTCGCTTGGCAGCGTTGCTCACGGATGTTTATGCGAGTGGCTGGCACTTAAGCACAGGTAGCCAGGTACTCGCAGCATGCAGCTTTCTGCCCTAGCCAAGGCTTGGGGCTGTGAAAAACACTTGAGCCCCGAGCCGACTTTGGTGGCCACAAAGTTGGCCGAGCCCCCCGGACAGACATGATCTCGCGCACAATCTGGGGGCTATGGGTGTGCCGCGTGCCGTCGTACCTAGCAGTGAAGGGTTACCGCCATCCCCTAAAAGATGGAAGGGTGCTGATGCAAATGTGCCGCCTTCCATTGCCAGGCTTCTGAGTGGCAAGCTTGTCGAGAACGTGAGGGTTGGCTGGCTTTACAACGAAGTGCACTTCTGCTTCCCGGAACACGTCTCCGGAATCTCTGATAGATGCTTGGCGCAAAGTTTGCAGACCGCAGGGCATGCCTGGTGTTGTGGCCCATTGACATGCTTGTGCTCTTGACCGAGGCAGTGCCCATGATGATGCCGACCTGGAAATCTTCCGACGCGTCTTCGACCAATTCAAGATCAACCAAAGCGAGTTGTAGGCGGTCTTTCGACCGAGCACCTTTCCAACGGTGCAACACGCGCCGTAGTCGCGCAACATGCGCTTCACTCGGGCGAGCAGCTGGCAAGAAGGTGCAACTGACAGCCTTCCACATGAGTGCACTGCAGAAGTCAGTCGGGCATGGTCGCGGAACAGAGTCTAGCTGCAAGCTTTCGCCGAGTCACGGTGCAAGCCGCCTCGTGGTGCTCTTTGGTTTGGTATGGGGGCCCGGCACCCGTATGCCACCTGTAGACGGGCCCTGTTCACAAGATTCTCTGCTGGCAGCCGCACGATTCGGCACCGAGGCACGAGTTGGAGGAGTTGCAGAGATGTGAAGATCTCCATTCTGCCTTCGTTTTGACCTAAGGACGTTGTAATGCCTTGCATCAACAGAAAGGGAGAGATGCCCAGTGGAAGAAGAAGAGGAGAGAGAGAGAGAGAGAGAGGTTATCCCCTACATCATAGCCCTGGCGAAAGAAAGAAAGAAATAGAGAGAGAGAGAGAGAGAAAGCTGAGCATGTGCGAGGGTCGGGGTCACTGTCATGTTTCACTCAAACCAATCGGACTCGGACGTTGGCGTAGCACCCGCGCAGGGGGTGGGGAACTTGCGCCCCCGTCCCACACGCCCAGCAAGCAAGCAAGCAAGAGAAAGAGAGAGATAATTTTGCACGTGCGCGCATGCGCGCGAGGGGCTTCTCTTCAATTCCTTCTGTCCTGGTAGAGAGAGGGAGAGAGAGAGAGAGAGAGATGCCTCCCCACCGCAGCCCTGGGGAAAGAAAGAGAGAGAGAAAATGATGGACGGGGATGCGCCTAGGCGCGGGTCAGGGGGTTACTCCCCTTGGCTCTGACCCCTAGCAAAGCAAAGCAAAGAGAGAGAGCTAGAGCGAGTACTTCTCAGGGGAAGCTACCTTTACCCTTTTGCTCTGACCGCTTGAAGTTTTCCCCTTTTGGTTCTGATTGCCCTGAGATTGCACAGATGGATGCGGGGGAATGCCTCCTCGAGTTGAAAACCGTTCTCAAGATGCCGATGCTCCAGAGGGGAAGATGTTGTAGATTCCTTTGACCTAGCATCGGTAGCTTCTTGACTTGTTTTCCGGAAACCGAGCATCGATGTCTTTCACCGACGCCCCCCACAAGGCCCTTAAACAGGGGCGCGCCATCCGGCGCGGGGAGCCTAACCTGCTCCCTGTACCCCGGAGAAGAAGAAGAAGAGAGGTACTCGCTCTACCCGCTCCTCACAGGCAAGAAGGACGGGCGCGCACTACAGACGTAGCAGCAGCATACACCATCGAAGCGATCGATGAAGTGTACATGCTCTGCCCGGCGGGAGGTCCGCGGATGGGACCGCCCAAGAGGAGCAAGTACAGGCCACGAGCCGCCGACCAGGGGAGAGCAGTGGGGGATGACACCATTCCCGGCAAACCCCAAAGGTAACACACAGAGTTCACAGGAGGGACCACAGGCAAGCAGACCTGTGAGAGGAACAGCAGCACACCAACATGCTGAGCAAGGACACGGCGAACCCGCAGCCAGCGCAGAGAGCGCAGCAACCTAATGTTTGATCGGCATGGCCCCGTTTGAAGTCTACTCAACTAGCTAGTGTAACCGTGACATGCGAGGGGAAGCCGACGCATCCTGCAGAGGCACCAGACTCCACCCGACTGCCAGTCTCCTACTAGTAGGTCCGCACATGCAGCCGGGAGAGTTTGGAATGGGAAAGGGGGGGGGCAGAGGCCACTGGTGATACACAATAAAGTTGCTTGGTATGAGTTGGTGCTCTGCACTCAAAACAGCCATATGACAGGAGGAAAGAGAATAGCCGTGACTGCATTATCATAGTCTTGTGTTGCTTCCGCACTCCACCCCCAGCAGCAAAAAGACCCCTCGCGTGATCCCGCCATGCTGTAGGGTTTTTCCCCCTTGTCCCTAGCCTGGCGAAACAAAGAAGGCAAGCAAGCGAGAAGGAGTGGAACAAGAGGGAGAGAGCGAAATCTTGGGCCCCCGTCTTAGTACGATGATGTACGATGTATCCTCCGAAGTTGTTGCTTGCTTTCCAGTTCGCTC